TATCAAAAACAAAAGCGCTGACTCGACTGCTTTCACCTGGAGATAAGAAAAGCCCAGAAAGCCCGGAAAGCCCATTCAAGGACCTTTTGTTCGAACCGATGTTGCCATTTTGGGGCGTCTCCTCTTCGGTTGCTGACAGCCGGAGATAAATACGCATATACAGGTCATTTTATTGTCGTCCGTTTTCGGGCTGCGAAATCAGTGTGCTGTGCATATTTAATGGCGTATGCAAATGCAAAGGGTCCCCAAAATGGCTCAAAGGCTGGTATATTTCCGAGTCCAACAATGCCACGAAAACATATTTAACTCGCTCGCATTGTGTCTTGTATCTTCGGTTATCCACCGTTTGTGGGCCGTGTCGAATGTCACAGGAAGCTCCAAACAAGCCACTTGGCCCCGGTTCCTTTCTTCGGCTGCCTTAAGGACCCCAATCCGCATTAGACTGCGTAGCTGTCCTAAATCAAATAGCCCATATTTTTGCATGTCACACGACTCGACCTCTTATCGACAGCCTGGCTTTGACCTAGCTCCCTAAAGGAAATATCTTAGAAGGCCCCGTCATGCCTCTCCTTAAATGACAAAATGGCAATTGGGGCACTTTAAATAGTGAATAAATATAATATATCTGACCAGATATATTAAAAAGTAGTAACGTTTGTATTATACGAACACAAAGAAAGAGTCTAGGGAACTTGAGGATCGCTGTATATTCATTTTCAAACCTCTTCAAATCAAGTGATAAGGACGCTCCGTCATGGTCTCCTTTCTGCTGGTGTACCCACCAGTATACCCATCGATAGATCATTTAATTTTCAAATTTACAACACATATAATAATGATATTTTTAAGTGATTTTTTGGTCACTCGTTTTTTTTTGGTATTGGGCTCTCTACGTCGGACCTAGCTGATAGCCTGGGAGTATTTTGGTCTTGTATTTTGAAGAACGGCAGGTGTGAAACATTTCATTGGCCAAAAATAACGACCCCAGTGAATTTTCAACGCCCCTCGGCGGTTGGATATTTATTGTCTAAACGAATCTGCCGGAGTGCTTCAAAATTAATAGCCGTGGCAACTTGAAAGCAGTAAAGGGACCAAGGGGCGGCCTTTAAAACTAAGTTACCTGGCCCATTGGAGCGTTCTTATCGATTGGGTTCGCGCCTTAATTATGAGTTCGGGGGAAAGAGATTGGAGCTGGCCATGCTTTTTCGCTGATTGCACAACCGATGCTGATTGATGGCCCTGGCAAGTTGTCAGTTAGATTAATCGATTGGTCCAGGCTAAGCGAATAACTTAAAGTGCAGTAAGAAGCGAGTCCTAAGTGCATTTCGACTACATGAAAATCTCATTTGCTTCTTTTGTGGCCAGAGTTAATTTGGTTAAATGCATTCTAAAGGAAAGTTCGGAGAATTTTCGGCTTTAAATTCTCTGAAAAACAGTGAACCCCGGCCATTAATATTAAATGTGCTCGAGAAAGGGGCTCAAATCATGCGCAACTTGAAACAAATTGTTGAGCATTCCGCCAGAAAGCCAGGGTCTCGACCCAAGACAAGGGCAATACGAGTATTTGTATGTGAGTCAAGTCAAGCAAAAGACTGGCAACAAGTAAGCAAACAAACAACAATGTCTTGGATGTGTGCATTAAAAGTCAACGACTCGGCAAATGAATTGCAGGCCCAGGCAAATTAAATTAGCGCAGCAAACTTGATGTCCTTGATGTGGGTGACCCCAAGTCGAAATTATCTTACTGGTGGACGTGGATGGGTATCCAGCGAACCCGAAACCCGGCTGACCACTTTATGAGTCGTCGGCCTGACCAACAAAATTTCGCATTAAATATTTAACTCACCTGGGCATAAAATGCTCCTAATGGTAATCAATAATCTGCGTGGGACTTAATTAGCGAAATCCAAGGTTTACTATGCGTAATTTGGTCAGCATACAACTTTATGTTGCTGGCAAATAATTAAAGTTAATTGAACATAACAAATTTAGCGGTAATTTGATAGGTCGGCACAAGTTCCATTAAATCTTGTCCTGAAATTTCACATTTAAATGTGAGGCAGTTTCGATTTCACAGCTCAGCATCTGATATAATTGCACGGCCAACCGAGATGTCCTCTAAGCCAACTTTAATGTGTTGCCAAAGATACAAGAGCGTGGGCTAAGAGAGGCCGAAAGAGAGCGAAAGAGCGAGTGTGCGCAGAGGGAACAGATCCTGTTGCTGCTATGCCCCGCCTGCCAGGGCTTACGTTGCGTATACGCAACGCCGCGATACTAATACGCCACGTAGTCCCAAGAAGGGGCTAGCCGGACAAAAGACAAAGGACGAAGTACGAAGGACGAAGTGCGGCCAACAGTTTGCGGCATCCAACGCTTTCGAACGGTACTCAAGCGGAAGTGCGAACTACAAACAGCCAAAATCCACAGTCTGGCATTCTTGGGCGTACATAATGCATATATATCCCGATATGTATATAAATAAAACCCCTGGGCGCATTGTTCACCCGGCATTATGGAACGTGTCTGGGCTTCTCTTGAGTTTTCGGGACCCTCTTGGGTCGCAAGGTGTTTTTCGGAAGCACTACTGGGGCGCTCGGAAATTCAAATCCATAAAAGTGTCATTAGGGTGGCGCATAAAACACAAAAGGTGCGCTCGAAAATTAATTAAAAAGGCAAGCTCAAGTCCGGAATTAATGGTGCACAGGGTTTATGCAAGGGGAGCTTGCCTTTTAGAAACATCCTCGCTGAAATATATTTGCCTTAAAAGTGTTTAAATTCATTTGGCAGCCATTGCTGAGGGAATGTTTGCCCAAGTCTAGAGAGGCACTTCGCAGGTTGCTTATATTAGCTATATAAATAGTTGTCTTGTTGTCTAGTTGTTGTATTAAATTTGTTTTCGGGACGGGACGAGAAAGGTCCGGCGTTTAATTTGGCACGCAAAAATTAGCAAAAATAGAACTTAAATATTTATGGACCCCGGGACACGTGGGAGCATTCAAATTGGGTTGTTACAGGGGCGAGACAATATGGTAAAGTCCTCGAAAAATGGACACGACCACCAGCCCTTGTTTACGTTTCCAGCTTTGTTTGCCCCATAAAACAGCAGCCCCAACGAATGTCAGATTGTCCAAATGAAGTAATACGAGTGTGTGTGCGAGGCAAACACACTCACACCCCCAGTGTCACACACAGATACACATCTACACTCGCAGAGTTGTGGGCAATTAAGCGATGTGCTTAAGCCTGATGAGGTTTTCAGCGCGAGATAAATATCAGAGGAATAAAAGAAAGCAGCCCGACCACATTTGTCAGTCAGGCCGAGTTAATAGTACACTTGGAGAAATGATCTAACAATCTTGGGACTATCCGGCTTTATATTCTTAATATTATTTAAAGTTTTGGCTCTTATGGCCACAAAAACATTTCTATGACCTATAAAAAGTACATAATTTTTCATTAGGATAACATGTTGCTCGAAAAATGGCAAGAATAAAAAGTAAGACCATATCATGTATGAGTTTCATAACAAATATAAATATAACTTTAAGAAATAATCACTGTATTTATGTGGCTCCAATTTGTAGCTATTTTTTTTTGGTGTCTCAAAATATATACGTGTTTTGTGGGTCTGTTGAGGATAATAATTGCGTAGGCATATTACAGCTATTTTGTGAAGTAGACGAAAGTATGAGATTAAATTGATTACACTCCGATGGTTTGGGTGTGTATTTAAGGGGGATTTCGCTGATTACTAGGCTCAATTCCATTCGGGCTTACACGTACATATACGTTAAGTATAGGGTTATTCGCCACCTGTTGCATTGAGACCCTGCGAATTTCTTCGAAAGAACTTCTGCAAACTCAGGGCCGACATTAAATTCCCCAGCGAGTGGCGTTTCATTAGGAGCTAAACATAAATTAGCTTTTAAGTCGATGTTAGTTGTATTTGTCTGCTGTCTGTTGCCTTTGTTTAAAGTTCAAAAAGCGTGAAATGCTAACAAGTTAATTGAAATTCCTGCAGCGTTTCACGTGCGATTGTTTGCTCTCACAGGACACAACAAGAAAATGAAAGCTCGCCCCAAAGGAAAGCATTTCTTTTCTTTTTTCAGCTGGCTTGACTTTTTTCTTTTTAGCCTCTTGCCATTTCCCTTGGCTGAGCAAACACTTAGCTGGTGTGAAAAAATGTAGACAAGTGTAAATTTATATTCCCTTCTGCGGGAAAAGGGGGCCTTGGCCACTTAGTGCTGCTCGCCGGGAAATACGAGAGCATAGTGTATAACTTTGACGTGGGCCATAAAGGAATTTAAATATTTCTTCGGGCGAAAAGCTATTTGCATTGTTTATTCAGCGTGGCTTCAAACGGACAGGTATCTGCTCTGTTTTCAGTTTTCCAGGTGTGCGGAAAGTCACAGAAACTACCAAGTTTATTGCACATGAGAGCACAACTTTTGCAAAAGCAAATAAAGAACTAGTGCTATGAAGGGAGTCCAGATGTAGCATTTATAATACCAAAGTTACTACTATTTCCTCTCCCTTTTGGTTCCGTTTTAGCTGCCTGGGATTTACATATTTCACATAATGTGTATATAAATAAACCGTAGAACCGCTAAAAGCCACACCGCATCAAAATGGCCTCCGGGAATTGCGTCAAAATGGGAATGTGTGGCCGCATTTTCATGAATCTCTATTGGTTTCGGCTTTTCCGCACACTGAACCAAAAGTATGAGCAACAAAAATGTGTTTATTTAGTTAGGTTATGCTTTTCCCACAGCCATAAAACATCTCAAAGTTCGTAATAATTTGGGCATAAAATATGGGATATAAAAGGAAAAGCTTTTTCAGTGGCAAGTCTTTAACCCTTTTTGTAGAACCAGAAATACAGTGGTGTTCAAATTAAAAAAAGTTGTTGATGGTAATAAAAAATCCAAATAATCAGAAATAAATTTGCTTACCGTTTATAATTTATTTAAGCTACTTTATAACTAAGAACTGGTCTTAAAGAATATAAACATAACTAAAAACAGCTATGGATAACAGAACGTTCGTTTAGCGGCCTGCGCTTGCAACGTGTTGTATTTCACGATGCGTTTTTGGATCTCACTTATATCCAGAACTTTGCAGCTGGTATAGTTATCAATGCGCTCCAGAGTGGCCATTTCCACCTTGGAGGCGCTGAACCCATCCAAGGTCACGGCCAACACCTTGATGGCCACATCCTTGGCGTCCTCAAGTGTAGGATTCAGGTATTCCTTGGGAAACAGTTCCTGCTGCAGTATTCCCTTGGCCCCTCCGGACTTGCGACCAATGCAGGTTGCCTTCCAGCCACTATAGTTTCCACTGGGGTCGGACTGGTATAGCTGAAACCCGAAGCGGGTGTCCCAGCCCATGTAAAGCAGGGAAACGCCGAAGGGCCGCTTGCCACCATATTGCGTATACGCCTGCTTGACGTCGCACAGATTGGAGACCAGCTGCTCGCAGGGAATCACCTCACCATAGGTAGAGATGTATCGCTGGGCGATCAAGCGCAGCTCGTTGGTCAGCACATTTCCATCCGCCGTGTTGCCCGTGGCACAACAGGCCATGTCCGCGTTCAAACGGCAAATCTTGTAAGCGGGAATACTGGAGTCCAAAAGCTTGTTGGTAATCCGCTCGGTGGCCAAGAGGACGCCATTCCTGGCCAGGATGCCCAGGCAGGTGCCCGACTGCGAAGCGGCCTCCATGGCGTATTCCACCTGGTAGAGACGGCCCTCCGGCGAAAAGATCGTGGTTCGGGAATCGTAGAGACGTGCCATCTTGTGTTAATATATAAAATATAAGCGTAAGTATTGTTTTCACTTGTGACTTGGTGATCAATAAATGTACTCAAGACCTGAAAGTGCCTACATACTAGATAATCAAGACTACAACAAATATTTGGTATTTAAATAGGAATAGAAAGGAGTTTCAACTATAATATTATATGTTATAGTTCTTTTAACTTTTAAAACATATAATTAAGTGTCTAACTAAACTCCTGAATCCGTCTGTTTTTGCATTTCCCTGAAGTTAAGAGTACAAAATGTTGTTCAAACATAAAGTTGAAGCCCCCATCTACTTTTCCATTCCCTTTAACCATCGTTTATTCTCATTTCCCGCAGTGAAAAGTGTATGTGGCATTGGGGATTATTGCACAAAGCGCATAAACTTATTAAATATGCAAAATCTCGCTTATTTTTTCTGCGGCGAATGAAACGGCTCGGCTGTCAGTAGCAAAAATTTGGGGCTCTGGCCCAGCTCTGGGTTATGATAAATGATTTGCCAGCGGGGAGGCATAAATTATGTACGGGGCCAAAGGTCAAAGGTAATCCAATGCCTAGGGGTCCCTGTGCCTTCATTAATGTCAAACTCCAGGCCCTTGCTGAATGCTCTGTCGGTTTTCCAATTGACTGCAGTCGGCAAACTATCTTAATTAGTTTCTCGCTGGCCAAAAGTTTATTCAACCTCAGAATTTCCCTGGAAGAAAGCCCGAAAGGGATTTCGTGCTCGTGGAGTATAAAATCGATGATCCATATTATGATCCCGATAGGTGATTAGGTAATGGTGATGGGTCTGTCTGGACGCTCCGCACCCAGAAAGCTGAAAGGAGGCCACTCCCTGGAAAACCCGGGGAATGGGAGTGGGAGTGGGGTTGCGAATGGGTGGTCTTAAGTGGAGTGCGCCAAGTCGATTGGAAAGCAATTCGCTTGCCCTTGCCATGCATAAAATATGAGGCAACCAGGGGCCATAACTCAATTTGCTGCTACATGCATCCTCGCTCCATCTCTGAAGCTGAAATCCTCGCATCATCATCAAATCGAAATCGGTATCCGAATAAAAATAAAATGCCTGTCCCGTCTGCAATTTGGTTTAGTTCAAAAGCCCATCAAACTCATTACGTAGCATTCAGGCCTGACCATTTGGGCCACATATTCCCCCACTATGGCCTGTTTTTTTCAGCTGCTCCCTCTTTGTTTATTTTTTGACAGACGAATCCCCGAACGTGGAGCGTATGTGACAGAGGATTTAGCACTCAGCGCCAGCTGGACTCAAATCAGCAGAAAAAAGAGGAGAACAGGACGGTTATGGCTGATTATGATGCCCCTCTTGTATAACACATACGGCATATGAAATATGAACGAGTGAGTGGAGCTCAGCCGGAAACGACCCTCATCAATATGGATTTTATGATGGACATGTGGGCACCGTGAGTCGCCGTGTGAGTCCCCGTCCGAGTCGAGTATGTTAAATTAATTGCATAAATAATTTACATAGTAATTACACGCATTCCCACTCAAAAGAAGAGGTGCAGTCCCCTCCCCTCCCCGTTTGCATATAAATAAAAATGCTAATGCAATCGAGTCGATATTTGCATTTTACGTAATCTTGCAAATTCGTAATTACGTAATGCCACAAGCTGATTGCCAGTCGCAGTCGATGAGCTTTAATTGCGTTTCCGTTTCCGTTCTGCTGACTCATCGAATTTGAACCCCAACCTTTTTACAGGAGTACCCCGACTTTGCTTCCGGATGCCAGGAAAGGTGAATTTCGATTTAAGAGATGGGGAAATTATAGGGTAAACTATAAGTGGAAAGGTTTAGGCTGAAAAGGAAGTCAAGAAGCCATTTTTTATTTGATTCGCTTTCGAAAATAAGAAATTCAATAAGTCTAATGAGCAAGTAAGGAGAAAAACTTCACTTTTGAATTTATTAACTAAACAAGAAGCCGGTTGTATATATTATAGGTAGTCATAACAGAGCACTTAAATCTGGCATCATTCAAAACAAAACGATATTTAACTACCTTTTATGGCTATTTTAAATATATAACAATTGATACCTTAATTTATGATGACTTTTCAAACAGTTTGACTAACATAATTAATCAACCGAAAATAAATCAGAGGCTGCTCCTATTCTTCTCGTCTAAATTACCATTTTACAATCAATCGAGTAGTCATTAAAATGTTCAAAGATCATTTACCAATTGACCAGGTGTATATATGTTAATCTGCCCAATCGATTGATGATCGGCCATTTCAACATCTCAATCGATCAGCAGCAGGTCGAACCACTATTGCACGATCACAACTTAACGACTTAGCATATAAATCGCATTATGGTTTCCTTTGTTGTTGACTGTCCATCTTGGGATCAAAATCTATATGCGAGGAAGACATCTTTTGGCATATCGAATGACAAGACAAACGATCGACTCGCTTTTAATGCTTATTGTCAGGCATAAAGGGGGGACGATTAAAAATCAATATAATACATCGATTGCTATTATGAGGGCAGTACAAAGGAAGAAACCATGCTTATAGAAACCATTATGCAAATCAATAAGTCAAGCCCCATGTAAAGTTAGCACTCATAAAGTTGATTTATGCAGCCGAGTCACAGCGAATTTGCATAATTATAATGGCGTGAACAGCCGAAGAGTCGCCTCAAAGTCTGAGCCCCAAAGTCTGGAATCTCTTTTTGGTGGTCAAGAAAAACTGGCAAAGATTGCGATGGTATCTTATCTCCAAGGGGCTTGGACCCCTTGTTTGGCCAGATTCGCTGGCACCACCTCGTGATCGATCCAACTGGATTGCCAAATGCATAAATCACGTGCCACTGCCTCGGAGACCGAAAAAAACCGAATTAGATTTCACACAGAATAGAGAATGGAGATCGGAGAATGGAGAATGTCTGCGACTGGGTTTTGGATGACTATTTGGTAGAAATTATGTAAATGCATGAGTTGAGACCCTGAACTTGAAACGAGTCGGCGGAGCAGAAGCTCCGATCACTTCAGTTTGCTGCTGAGTTAACTGGAGATCGGTCGGAAATTTGGACTGGGAGCTGCCCCCGGAGAAACAGTTGTTGGATACACATTTAGGAACTATGTACAGGACGTTTTTCATGGTAAGCCAGGAGCAGGAAACGATTACTAATGGATTTAAGTGACCTGTGTGACTCAACAGTGTTTTAGTGCATTTAAATGTTCTTTCTGAATGATTCATAAAACCCTATAATTCAGTGATCCAATGAAAATCAGTATTTCGCCGTTGAATATTAATTCTAATCAATTATAAAAGAATGGTTAAAATTATCAGTGAAAGAAATAAATGTAAAATCAAAGTTTTATTTAAATATTAAATACATTTTTGGGAATAAACAAGTTATTGTTTAACTTTTTTTATTATTTCGACTATAAATATACTTATTTAGCAACCATTGTAGTATTGTTTTTGATGAATCTGCAACTAATTAAATCAGCTTTAAAGATAAAAGTTTGTATTTGCTTAAAGCCAAGGTTGGCGCCTAAAAGCATTTACTTTCGAAAGGCTGAATATTCGCACGTCGTTTGCCTGTTTATTCGAATAAGTTATTAATTGAGTGTAATTTGTCTTGCAGCTGTTAACCCTTGTGGCTGTGGCCAGTGCGGCCGGCTTTAACCGGGACTACCTCCCACGCCCGCCGGCCAGGGGGGCGTATGTCTACGCCCCGCCCCCGCCCAGCACAATGGCCCAACTGCGCCGGATAATCCAAGGTCACCTGGAGCGATTCCAGCAGGCGGATCAGGCCCACTTTTCGCGGAGGGCGAACGCTCAGCTGGGAAAATCGGAGGTGCCGGCGGAGAGGAAGCCGCAGGCGATGCAATTGTGGGTGGCTCGCACGCCCACCGTTATTTCCGGCGCGGCCTCGGAAAACACACTGGAGTACGCCCTGGCCCCCAACACGCCCACTCCGAAGGACTACGCGCACAAGTTCCTGCCGGAGGGCAAGGACGTGGTACCCGGAAGTTCTTACATTCCGCTGCGGTTGCTGGTGATAAAGCGCTGAGTTCGGAACTCAATATTCTGAAATCCGAAATCTCGGGCGGCGACTTGGCTGTTGTTGTTCGAAAAACAAGTTCCGGCGGAATGCCGATACCAGATACCCGATACCCAACCAGTAGTTGGCTAATTGGCCTTAAGCTTACTGGTTCTTACCGCTAGTTTAGCAATACTGTACCATTAGTTGTTTTATGTTAAGGCCCGTGTTCGCTAATCTAAATTAAGTCACCACATCCCGGAGGTCCGTGACTAAGACTTACGACCTTATCGCATCCAATAAAATCGAAATTAAACACAGCCGCATGCTGTCGTAATCTATGAAATACATTCACCAAAAACTAAGTTGTCATCTCATTTACATAAATTAGAAGTCATAAATTCGAAGTGAGCGGGGAACTACTTGGCTTTAAGCGGTTAAAAGCTGTCTATAAAACCGGTTGGCTTTCGAGCGGTAGGGTGCTTATCTAAAGCTTAAAGCTGTTCAGGTTCAGGTTTAGTCTTTAACTAAGTTATAAAAAGTAAAGTTCAAAGCTCCTCAAGAGCTTTAAGGCATTGTACTAAAGTGAAATGTCGAAACTTTAAAGTTTTCCAAATAAATTATAATGAACTCTTCATAATTTTCTCATTGCACCCCTATGCTAATATTCCGATTTTATTTAGAAAGTTTGTTGGTGAATTATTTCTTGATGACTAACCCCTAATTTACTTTTCATGTTCCCGGCGATAGGGCATGATAACCGGTTGCCACAGAGATACAGAGATTAGAGATCGCAGATTGTATAATCAACCAGCAAACATTGTACGTAGTATAGTTTTTCCTTTTGGTTTTTTTATTACTTACAAAGAGTTTAAGCAATTTAGTTGTACAGATTATTTGTTTTTATTTAATAAAATTAGCACTTACTACTACTATTTTACAAACTTTTCTCTCTTTGCTTTTGTATTGCTCAACAAAAATAATTTACAACTTTCGGAACCATAATTTCCATTTCAATTTTATAGGTACTAAATCATTTATTAATAGATTTTTCTAAGTGAAAACCTATTGATATTTATTTTACAAATTATTTCCCTAGCTTTACTTAATTCGAACACCTATTTACTGGTACTGTGAGTTGATGACTGGCTTGAGCGTTTTAAAATCGAATCCGTTGGCATTTCTATAGTTTCTTGATCTCTCTTCTGGCGCAAATTACAACAGAGACCCAACCAGGCCCTCTGATTTTCTTTGTTGAAAACTATGAAGAAAAGAAATAGAACAAATCCCTGTAGTGTGGCTGTGAGGCAGAAAAGGTAGGCGAAGATCCTGCCGAAGTCAAAGTAAGAACACAGTCCAAAAATCCAGGTGATACCCAGAAGAAAGAAGAGCAGCACGAAGAGGCCCAATTGTTTTAGGACTAGATCACGGGTAAATAGGGCCTTATAGACACTCCAGGTGATGTAGCCCACCAACATGGCATTGGCCACAGTGATCAGCCCAATAGGAAGGATCACACCCAGACTTAAACCATATCCGGAAGGATAACAGATAATGGGAGTATCCAGCGAGGAATTACTGGGTCTGTAGGAATCGGGCTCCAGAAAAACCACAAGCAATGTGGGCACAAGTGGCAGTGTCCAGGCCACAATAGCCGATATTAAAATATAATGTCTTGGATGATTGACACCAATGACTCTGACATATCTTTGATACTGCAGAAAGCCAATGATGAACATCCAGCTGAAGACAACCAACAGTAAGTACTGCATCATAGCTCCAATCAAGGTGCATTTTTCCCAATCTGATTGGTCGAACAGTTCCAGGAATTTACTTTGACTCAGGATCAGGAAGAACAACAACTGAAGAAACAGGGCAGCACAGAGATTTAGCAGTATCTTAGTAGAGGCTAAACTCCTAAAGCTTTTGAAAACTGCTGCAGTTAGGAAAATGGCAAAGAGTCCCAGGAGAGATAAGGTCAAGCCTACATTGGTGATAATATCCAAGGTGCGATCATCTTCATAGCTGTCAAAACTCGTCTGCATTTTGCTTACTCCCAGTAGAAATGTGAACTGAGTTAGGTGGTCCGCAAGACAGAGGATCACCGGATGCGAGCTGTCACTGCCGTTGGTGGAAATTCCATCACTAAGCCAGGTCTGATAGTTCCAATAGCCACATCCACCTTCATATTGAGTTTGATTCGCCTTCCCATTGCGCAGGAAAAACGGCAACTTCTCGGGGAGATGGTTATCTGAAGAAGAAAAGTGATTGTTAAAGATGTAAAGTTATTTATCGTAAGGAATAAAATGTTTATTCGAGAAAAATAATTAAAGATATATCTAGTTATTAAGAAACTCTTACCAAGCAATCCTGGAATAGTTATAGAGATAACATTACTAGTTGGTCGTCGTTGGATTTCCTCTGCTGTCTCCACAAAAAGAGCATCTCGAGTATAGACCTTGAAGACTAAATAAGTGGCTCCCTTTTTCTTCAGTTTCTTCCAAAGTTTCTCGGGCAAAAAAACTGCTGTCTCCAGGTTTTCTATTGCCCTTACATCGTCCACCTTATCATATGAATGAAGGCTTTTAAAATCCGAAGAGTTCGCATTTGAGAATATGGCCATTCCAGTAATATTCTTCACTTCTGGATCCACAAAAAACACACTAAGTTCGTTTGTCCTTAGAACCACAACACCCATATCAAAATATGTATGGAATTTAAACTCTGTACTGTTTTGTATAACGCTTGTGTTTCTTTGGAATAATTGTGAACCCAGTTCATCCAGATAATCCTCGAAATTGCTTAGCAGCGAGTTCGTGGCATTAACATCTGCTGAAATACGAAGAGTTTCGTTATCCGTGGTCATGACTTTCTGGCAAATCTTCATCAAATCCCCGACTACTTCAGCATTTCTTTCTCGTTTCTTAACAAGCGAATCAAATATCTCAGAGATACTAAAGACATCGGCGGCGACTAGTTTTGCCTGGGACTGAGTTAAGAGGTTACTCAGTTGGCTAATCATATCTGGTGGGCTTTTTACAGCGAGAAGATTTATACTTGAGCTCAGTTCCGGGGCCGATCTGCAGGTTATATGGTCTAAACTTTGCCAGACTCTTTTTCCATTTCGAATTTGGCACCTGCGTCTGATGGGAATTCCCCTTTCATTTAGACAAAGATCTCTTAGATTTGCCTTTTGGCCAACTCTTGTTTTCTCCACACGATTGGTACGTGTCTCAGAAGAATCATCTGATTCATATTCAAGTTCAAAGTCCTCGGCCTTGCAGAATCCTCGATTGCAGTCCTTATAGGGATTGTGGGAGAGCTGACCATCTGCATCCACGCAGAGGAGAAATCGCAAATTCTTTAGATGGCAATAGTCCAGACACTTAGCCACATTTTGGGCATCAAGTGGATACAGGGGTGGATCTGTACTTCCAGATACGAGTATTATATAGCCAGCAATCCACCAGAGAAACAGCAGCATAGTACTGTATTTTTTACTTAGTTATTATTTATTCAGCGCAGGCTGCGATGTCGCACTCCCGAAGCTTCACGATCGACTGACGAGGGAGCAATTAAATGCGAGTGGCGATAAAACGAGTTTTCCTCTCCGCATACCCTGTAAATAGGGCCTGCAAGAATCGCCACTTTCCATCTCTGTTCTATCTGGGAATTCGATTCGATGGTCTACTTTGAGCCAAGCTCAAGGTCAACTGGTTTTTTAACTAGCGGTTGCTTTGGAAATTGCAGCATCTTAAAGGTCAAACGGTGGGCTCTTCTATTCTAAAAATATAATTACAAGCCATAATAATAATAATTTAGTTTAACATTTGCACTGACAAATAGAAATAACTATTTTAATGGGGTCCCATAAAATGGTATTGCTTCCATTCAAACACGTTTACTATGAATTTATTACACAAGGTAGTTTTGTATACTTTTATCATTTATTTTTTTATCAACGGTAGTAAACTCCCCAATTAGAAAAACACTGAACGCTGATAAAGAGATAATTGGTTATCAACGATGTACATCCAACCATTAAACGCATTGTATCAAATATAGCGTTTTTCTCAGAATGAATGGTGGGTATTATTATTATTTGTAGATAAATGAAATAAAATATTCTTCACTATGATAACACTTTTTAATGGTAATTAAGGATTCGACTTCTGAATTTCCCATTTGTTCCCTCCGATAAAAAGCAAGAATAATTAACTCTCAGTTGGGAGAAGCGGTAAGTATATGCATGCAACGATCGGTAGCGTCGGGATGCCAACTATGTATGATAAGCAGCCACCTTAGATACTTCACCCCACCGCTGACTAGAAGGTATATGTACGTAGATAGGAACATTCAAATATTAGCACTCAGATAAAAATATAATCATGCAATGATACTTGATTTTCTCAAATTAATGTTCGAGGTGTGAAATCAGTATCTGTAGAGATAAGGGTGGTTTTCTTCTAAATACCACATTTTAATATTTTTCTTTAATAAATATAAACTATAATTAACTGTGGTTCAATAACCATTTGCTTTATCGGTAATAAATACCTAGTATTTTTACCAGTGCTCTCCTCATAAATCTATAGCTTATAAGATCAAATCTGTCGATAGGTGGCAATAGAATTAACCCCGTGAATAATTAGATGCGCTACTTGAACGGCTGCCACCAACATCGCCAATGATCACTTGATATTTTTCACTTTCTGAATAGCCACTCAAGTTTGGAGAGCTCGCGCGCGCTTGTAGAAACGAGTCTGAGTCTAAATATTTTCCGACAATCTAGAGTCTAGACCGTAGAGAACCCGCATCATCTGTCAATGGCGGCAGAAGATGAAGCAGAGCTTTTAGTTGATGAATTGCCATAAAATACTACTGTTTCTTCTCGACGGTGTTTCAAGTTGATAAGAAAAACTACCTGTGTAATTTATGAATGTGAATGCTAATTTTATTTGAATTAATCTTCTGAAACTGACTTTTATTTTCCCACAAAAGCATGTTGAATACCCCTACTTTGGTTGTCCACATGATATGCAGTCTAATGAGAAGGTTGTTGTTTCTGAGCTGTGGCCTCTGGCATTCGTTTTACAGTCCTTGGAAATCAATAAACTCGCTCTGGCCAAATTGCAGTATTTATATTCAATTATTGTTGATGCAAATGGAAGCTGCAACAATTGTGAGATGTCATGACATGGCCAGGATATTATTTACCTTAACTGAGATACACTTACTATCCTTCCAGATGTCCAGACCTCAGGGCGATTTAATTTGAATGCTTGGCGAAGTATTGCCATTCGATAAGAGTATGGGCTTGTAATATCGTAATTTAACCCCAAATGGAAACTGATTCATGCTGGCAATTATAATTACTGGGCAATTGTAGATAAACCTGCTGGTAAGAATGTAAATAGTGTGATATTATCTGGTACTTTTATAATTATTGCTTTTTGAGCACAAAATAATTGTGTTGAGCTTGTTGTTTATATCATAAAAGTGTATATAATTTAGCTGAT